GTGGACCACAGGGAGATTGGAGGTTGACAGAAGAAAAACTCAAGTGGCCCAGAGTCTCAAGGATGTTCTTTGGCAATTTAGCTACTTAAAAAGGCTGTATTACTTCTTTCAGATCTCAAGGAAGCCTGTTTAACACAAGCACTGGTGACCTTGTCATGACACAGCCCGAACCAGAATAAGTCCAAGGAAGTGTGGAAAGCAGAGCCTACTATTTCCCCCTTTGCCTCTGGGCAGCTCTACACTGGACACAGTCCTGTCTCCCTTCTCCGGCTTTGTCACGTCAGGAGCGACCTGTGAATACGACCCGATTTAGGACGGGAAGAAAGCAAGCCAGTCAGAGAACTAATGCAGCTTTCAAAATGCCTAGTTTACTCCCATGGATTACGCAGACTTACAAGTTAGAACTAGATAACTATCACTTAAGTCAGTGGTTCTCAACAGGGCTTGCGTATTTGAATTCCTGAGGCACTTAAAAAACACTGCAGCAGCCCCTCCCACCTGAGACAGACGGTCTGGGTGAGGCCCAGGCAGCCTAAGTTGTCATGGCGTCCAAGGTGATTTGAATGTGCAGCCAGAGCCGGAAGCCAACGATGGAGATCAACCTCATGGACGATTAAAGAAATGTGGAGTGTGTATACACAGACACACACACACACGGGGAATACTATTCAGCCATAAAGAAGATGAAATACTGCCATCTGTGACACAGATTGATCTTGAAAGTATAATGCTAAGCAAAATAAGTCAGACAAAAAGGACAAAAACCATATGATTTCACTCATATGTGGAATATAAAACAAAAAGTAGCAAACAAAACAAACAAAAAGAAATTCATAGAGACAGCAGAATGGTGGTCACCAAAGAGAAAGGGGGCAGGGAAGGGGGTGACTGGGTAAAGGGTCAAATAAATGGTAAAGAAACTAGACTTCAGGTGGTGGACATGTGATAGAGTATACATATGTGAAATTATAATGCTGTACACCTGAATGTTACGTTACTAACCAATGTTACCTCAATAAATTTAATTTTTAAATAAGTAAATAGAGCTGAACAGACTGAGATCTGCCTGAGGTCGCACAGCTGAGCAGCAGTGTTGAAACTGGGAACTATCATTCAATTCTTTAGAGAAACAGCAATAAAAGAGAAGTTTCTTTACAACATAGCAATTTATAAGGTATGTGATACAGTAACTAAATGCATAAGACTTCAAAATTATAAAGGTCTAAATGCAAATCAGGGCTTCAATAGTTAACAGCTAATATTAGTAGTGCTCAAACTATGCTGCATGTTATAATTATCTGGGGATAATTAACTCAGGATCTCTGGCAGTGAGAGTCAGGCATCAGTACTTTTTAACGTTCCCTAGGTGATTCCCGTGTGCAAACAAGTTTGAGAACTGATGAACTCACATGACCTTAGGAAAATTACTTGACCTCTTTAAGCTTAACTCGTATGAATACTGTGATTAAGTAAGATACAGTGTGTACGTAAGCAGCTGCTATTAGTGTGATTACCACCTCACTTCCTTCTGCCACCACCACCCTCTTGTGGTCCTTCATCAGTGGTCCTTCCTTCCTCCCTCACTTTCTTTTCTCCCTCCTTCTTTCTTACTGAGATGTTCACATATCATAACGTTCACGTTTTTAAACATGTGAAGATCAGTTGGTTTTAGAATATTCACAAAGTTGTGCAACCGTCATCACTATCTTACACCAGAACATTCTAATCACCCCAGAGAGAAACTCTGCACCTGTGAGTAACCCCTCCTCCCAAGCCCTTGGAACCACTAATCTACTTTCGATCTCTATGAATTTAACTATTCTGGACATGTCATATAACTGAAATCGTAAAACAGCTGGCCTTCATGTCAGGCTTTTTTCACTAGCATGTATTTGAGGTTCATGTACTTAATGCTTCTGAACTGTTCACTTAAAAATGGTTAAAATGGTAAATTTTATCCTATGCATATTTAATCACAATTTTAAAAAGTAAGAGAAAAATAAAAGGAGAGGGAAAACAAGGGGACGGAAATGAAAGAGAGAAAGAAGTAAAGAAGATGGAGGCTTGGTCCTGTTTATTCATTCATCCAGCAAATCCTCGTTGAGCATTTATCATAATGAGGCATTGCCCTCAAAACAAATAAGCCAGTCTGCGTACCTGCTGGCAGCCTCATTCAAGAAAAGCCTGCTGAGAGGAAAGGGCAGCTCACCAGGCCCTCAGGAGGCAGGCTGCCCTGGAGGAGTACATGCCCCACCATGTATTTGCACAGAGCTTTGTCTCTGCTCTAAGGTGTGGGACTTTTCAAGTATGTCCTTCACTCGTCCTAGGACCTAGGCTGTATCCAAATGTCACTGTACATCCTTATTATCTAAGACTCCTCCTAGAGCAAAGAGAGTTAAGTTTCCTTCCTTCTCACCACACTGGCTAGGATCTTCTCAAACAAAGAATTAAGCTAATGGCAATATTTTGGTGTTTGGTTAATGGCAAACCAACGTACCAATACTGTCAAGAAAGAAAGAAAGCAAAGATACTTCAGGGAAAAGAACCATGAAAATTCCAGTGTGCCTCATTGCTTGGCAGGTCTCTTAAGAATATCATTTAGTGTCTAAGCAGAATGGCTTCTTTGTAGAAAATACCTTTCACCATAACTCCAAAGTAATAAAGTGTGTTCAATACAAGCTTCTAAATTTATAGACACAAGTGTATGTTATAAGGCAAGTACTTCCTTAATAGATGAACTTGGGGAAGGGGGAGATGTTTCAAAACGTGCTTGATGCCAAATAAGCTTTTCTGAAAATACTTCTCATAAATATAATAAGCACCACTGAATATAATTTTATTCCAAATTGATCCAGTTTATGTTCCATAACTTAAACATATTTTTATAGTGAAGATATAGTCTACAGCAATGCCTCACTATGATAAATGCTCAATGAGGATTTGCTGAATGAATGAATAAACAGGACCAAGCCTCAATTTGAGGGTTTTTTTTTAAACAGGGAGATGACATCAGAGGCTAAAATCTCCGTATTTTTTTCTAGATCTATCAGGGCCTTATTTGGAATGCCGCCACAATAAAAATAATTTCATATCTTTGCAATTTAATGCAACTGACACATTAGATCCCCCCTAGAAAGAATAAAGCAGGAAGGAGAGAGGGGAAGAAAAGGGGCGGAGGGAGCACCTGACTATGCCAGAAGGAGCTTCTCCAATGATGACACGGGTTAGATAAGATCCCAGGCAAGCCGAAGTGTGACCCCAGTCACACTTAACACTCAAGTGTTGACCAAAAATTGAGATGAAATGTTTTACTTCTATAAAACTGACCTGCCACTCAACCCTTTATCTCAGTGAAGAGGCGGTAGGCTCACTAAAGCTGTGATTCTTCTCCTTCCCGTCTGTAGTGTTTCACCTAGTGTTCCACCTAGCACAGCACACTTCCTGCGGAGCCAAGAGCTACAAGAGAGAAAAACACTCCCCTGGCAGCAGTTCTTAGAGGACCATGTCACAGGTTGAACTGTATCCCCAGAAAATTTATATGTTGAAGTTCTAAGTCCCAATACTTTAGAATGTGACTTTATTTGGAAATAGGGTCACTGCAGATGTATTTAGTTAAGATGAGGTCACACTGGAGTTGGGTGGGCCCTTATTTCAACATGACTATTGTCCTCGTAAAATGAAGAATTTGGACACAGACAGGCACATGGGAAGAATGCCATATGAAGACTGGAGTTATGCTGCCCCAAGCTAAACAACTACCAGAAGCAAGAGGAGACCTGGACCAGACCCTTCCCTACCACCTTCAGAGGGAGCATGGCCCTGCTGACACCTTGATTTTAGAACTCTGGCTTCTAGAACTATGAGACAATAAATACCTGTTGTTCCAAGCCATCCTGTTCATGCTCCCTTGTCGCTGCAGCCTCATAAAATGGATCCGGACATGAGAGCCCATGTGCACTAACTAGCCTACCTGCTTCAGACTGCATCCCAGATCGAGCTTTCCAGCCCATGACCACGGCCACCACATCAGCCCAGGCCCCAACACCCCATTTGTGAGCCGCTGTAACAGCTGCCTCGTCTCCCTGACTCCAGACTCTACCTCCACTTGCTTCAACTGCCAAACACCTGCACATCGCCATGATATTAACCTTTCAAAGACGCCAATTTCTTTGAATCACTCTTGTTAAAAAATCTCTAGTGACTCACTAACTCCTACAGGACAAAGCCCAGATTCTCCTGCCTAGAATTCAGGGCTCTCTCTTCTGAGCTAGCTCTAACTGCTAGGTGAGATTCCACTCGTGACCCTAAAGGGGGTGTTCAGGCTGCATGCAGCCCAGGACGGCTATGAATGTGGCCCAACACAAAATCGTAAATTTACTTAAGACATGATAAGATTTTTTTGTGATTACATGTCACAATGTATTTAATATGTGGCCCAAGACAACTTTTCTTCTTCCAGTGTGGGCCAGAGACGTCAGAAGGTTGGTTGGACACCTCTGCCTAGAATATACAACCACTACTACTGATGCAGTGCTTCCTCCCCTGCCAAGACCCACTTTCCCCTTGAAGCCTGCTCTATATACTCAGCTAAGGCCACTTCTCTGACCTGTAGGCACTACTACTTGTATCAGTCATTCCGTACTCATCTCAAGTTGCCACACATGATTTCAGCATTTAAAAAGTGCAAGTTTTGCACAGGTAGATTACGAGCTCCTTAAGGAGGGGGTTGATGTTTTCTAATATTGGGGGTACATCTCAAAGCCAGAGACAATGCTAGGCCTATTATAGGCAAACTCAAAATTCCTACTGAATTAACTATTAAACACGTATTTAAAATTCTTAGAAGTATTACTTTTGGTTCTTCCTTCAACTGGGGACTTAAAGCTGAACAAATCTGCAGATCTGATGTAATTCTATGGTTCCGGATATATCCAAATAATTTTAACCTTACAAGAAATAGGAGGAAAACTCCTCAGCACGTTTAGTCCCAAGGTACTTACCATTCTTCATCACTACGTTGGACCAGACATTGGCATTCAGGGCTTGAACAATTCGCTTTACTCCTGTGGATTCTGGGAAGTCATCTAATCAGGGGGACAAAACATATATATTTATACATGCACTTATGCATACATACACACATGTGTGTATACCAAGCCACATTCTTAAATAACTGCAGCTTACTTATTTTGCTCATTTAGTTATTTCACATTATAACTTATATAATGAGGGGAAAAAACAAAGCAAGTACAGAGCTCAGAGCTACCATAAGAATATTCTAGAAACTAAAACAATGAGAAAAACACACAATATTAAGAGGTTTATATAATACCATCAGCCCCATTGCCTCACCAATGGCACCTACTCATATTCTCCCGAAAATGTTAGTTTCTGTTAATTACACAGTACTAGGAGAATGCTAGAGTACTACCATTCACGATTATTTACAGAGAACGATTTTGCTGAAGGAAGGAGTGGTCCTCTTAGTATGCTAAAAAAATCCTGCAAATGCCTTTTCTTCTCCTCGGAAACAAAATAATTATTGTTTATAACTGATATCTAGAGAACAACTTCCTGATTAGAGAGAGATAGTTTAGAGAAGTGAACTTACTATTACTATAGTGCAAGAGGCAGGCAAACTGTCATTAAAAATAGCCACAACTTAGCTACTTTAGTGTTGGTATTATCCTGCTTCTGGAATTTAATTGATAGTACTCTAAAAAACAAGGTGCTAATCCCAGTTGGCACGTCAGAAATAGGGTGGCATTCTTAGCTGCACTAAGGTATGAATGTGCATAAAAGAAAAGTAGATCCTTCAGATAATGAATATTACAATACTGCATCTGGCTGAAAAAAGAAAGTGTCCTATGAGAGCACAGTCCACATAGAACCTGTTTCTAGTGGCCTGGCCACTAGATAGGAATTTAAACCCAGGTCTCTGCAACTTATTAGCTATTTGATAAAGTGTGAATATCACTTATGCTATTCTTAAAGAAAAGTGGGGATGACACCATTCCATGCACTCCTCTCCCAGAAGAAAGATGCAGTAGAACTGACAATTTACTAGTGTAACCTTCTCTAGACTGGGTACTCCTTGAAGGCAGGAATCACGTCTTACTGAGTTCATTATTCCCACTGCCTAAAACAGTGTCTGAACAAGAGCAGGCACTCAGTAATTGAGACATTGATGAATCATTTAAAAAATACTAACCTACCACCCTGGATGGTGTAGCTCAGTGGATTGAGCACAAGCCTGCAAACCAAAGGGTCACCTGTTCAATCCCTCCCTTCCCCCCCTCTAAAGATAAAATAAAATCTAAAAAAAACAACTAAAATTTAAAAAATAAATAAATAAATACCAACCTACCAACTTAACACAAACACGTTAAGGATTAAACCAAAAATACTCTACATGAGTTTATCACCATCAGTGTTTCTTTTTATAGACTTTTAAAAAAGATTTTATTTATTTTAGAGAGGGGAGGGAGAAAGAGAGGGAAAGACACATCAATGTGTGGTTGCCTCTCTTGTGCCCCCTACGGGGGCCTGGCCAGCAACCCAGGCATGTGCTTTAGACTGAGAATCGAATCGGCAAGCCCTTGAATTGTAGGCTGGCACTCAATCCACTGAGCCACACCAGCTAAAGCTATCACCAACAATGTTTAAATGAAGAAATAAAAGCCACATTTATCTTAACTATGAATGGTTCAGTTCTTGAAAGAACAACTAACATTTCAGATGATACAATGAAGAACCAAAAATATGGTCTGAAGAGCCAATAAGATGAAGTATAACACAAACAAGCACAAACTCTCATACTGACGTTCAAGTAATACGTGCAAACAAAGGATGAGGGTATGTGGCTTGAGAACTGTTTCCATTAAAGAACACTATGAAGGTTTCAGTTACATTACCTAAAGAGGATATATCAAAAATCTATTTAAAGATTAAGCTGAATTAATATAAGAGCATTGTTCCAGTAAAGAGCAAGAAGAAGGGCAGTGGTGTAAAGGAGCAGAAATTCCAAAATGAAAACAGATTTAAATAAATAACTCAAATGTTGACTCTCAAGGACAACAGGAAGAAGAGGAAACTCTAGTGCCAAAGATCGGTGACGACACACATGCTCGTACACACAAAGCAGGGCACCGGCTTTAGGGGACCTAGAGAGGTGTGGGGTAAGATATTGCAGTTGTTCATTTCAATATTCTTAGAAGTGTACAGGGAGAAAAATCGGCCTTCTTATTTCCCTTTTGTCCTCTTCTTCTCTGGAAAGGTTTTATTCCCAAAGATAACATTTTGAAAAAAATTCAAACAAGCCATAATATAGAAAGACATTTCTTAACTCTTTTAAAAAATATGTTTCACTTAAAGATTACTTATAGCCTACCTATGTAATTTAATTCGTATTGCTTGCCCCTGCCTAAAATGCCTTTTGGAACAACTGGTATCTTCTCAATGCCCCCTCCCCACTGGTCCTCTACACACAATTCCAGGACATTTTCCATTTCTTCCCCAATGGACCAGCTGACATGTGAAAGTTGATGGTGTCAATTCCTTCTTTAAAATAATCTCCTCTGTCTCTGAAATACCACAGTACCAATATTTTTAAAATAATACTTACTATATCCCACTTGGTAATTCAATTATTTGTATACACGTTTTATCTCTTGTACCAGATTATAAGGGTTTGCTGGGTCAAAATCCACCTTATCTTTGTAGATGCCACAGCAGCTAGCACCGGTGTGCGTGGAAGGAGTAACGGTGAGGACAGAAATGCGGGAGGGATGTGAAGAGGAAGAAGAAACAGAAGAAGGTCCAGACGGCAGTAGAAGGTAGTCAAGTGGAGAACTACTCCAGGAGGTATTCTGAGTCCATTTTTGGTTTCAAATGTCCAAAACACATACACATAGGACTGACATGCATCTATGGTTCCTGGAATTCAGCCCTAGGTTACTAGGAATTCCAAATAAGGAACATAAACTTTACTGACTTATGAATACAGGTCAAGCTCTCCTTTTTTGGATGTAGAGAAAAGATAAGAGATTAGGGAAATGACTAGGATTTAAGGTTGAAATCCTCTACCTTTATGCAAGAGAAAAACAAACATTTCAAAACTCCTAAAATGGGTAGTAAATCCCCCAAAATGGATTATTTGATTAATAGTAAGACCACATCGATGAATTATGCAGAAATCTTTACAAGCAGCTAGGGGAAAAAGAGTGTTTTTGAATTTCACTGTGATTTTTCTTCCACAAATTAACTAATCTCACATCTCAAACCAAATGCCATGTTTTCTCTCAACATAAACACTTACCGTCCTCCTCAGGTAACTCTTCTGGACTAAGTTCTACCAGTTCAAAGCCATGTTTTATACACCATTCTTGAGCTTTTTGTCGGTTTACACCTAAAATAATATGCAAAAAAACCCTTTATAAGTAAAAATAAAATATGAATATTGCTGCAATACTATTCACAAATGTGTTTCTGTTAATGTCAATATTATTCTACAGGAACCCAAAATAAATATAAAGAAAATGATTTCTCAAATGCAAGTGTCCATTATTTAAAAAAGAAAAAAAAAAGGTAAATATTGCAAGATTCTAGAGAGAAATAGCTGAAAACACTGTTGTAAAGGAATAAAGTCAAATGAGACATGCTGTTCTAAATTGAGGAAACAACGTGCTCTGCTTACCACGGAGTGGCAGGAGCGTGCACAAACCACCGCCCCATCGAAGCATCTTACCGTTCTCCGACACTCGATCGCAGACCAAGATCATCACCTCAGGTAACCATGCTTCTACCAGTGGAAGCCATGAGGAGACACTATCAAGACCAGATTTCTAGGGGGAGGCATAAGAAACAAACGAAAGCAGAAAAACAGATATTAAGAGAACTCATATGCGCGCACGCGCGCACACACACACACACACACACACACACAGAAATAAGGGGTTAAAAAAAGCAAGCACAATTTCTTATTTAAGATTCCATGAAAAACAAAATCTTACTTGTGTGCTGTCAAAGTAAACCACAAATGCTTGGACAGACTCTGCAATCTCAGCAGTGACTAGAAACTTGTTTGGCACTACACAAAGATTGATGTCCGCTGAGTAGTACTTATTATCAATGGTCCAAGGATAAAACCTCACAGCATCGTTGGCAGTTGCTTCCACAACGAGATCTTCTGTTCCAAGGATATCTAAATAAACGACACAACATTACTATGGGAAGTGCAAAACCAATGTATATCAGTCAACTTTCTCAGTAATACTTCAAAATAATACAGTACTTAGGCTGCTTCCCTTCATATAAGGATTTCAAAGGGCCTCACATTTATTAGGGTATCTTCTTCTCTGATCATTTGATTACAAAAGTAATGCTGATGTAATTTAACTCATTGGCTTTTACTGTAAGAACAGAAACACTACCGTGATTAGATTAGGTAGAAAACAAAATAGTTGTCTCACCCAACATCCATAAAAGAACAAGTGGGAGAGAATGACAGCTGTATGTATTTTGTTGCTTATGAACTTCATGGGTGATGGAAAATAATAAGGATCCTAAAAATTTTTTAATTATTTCATAGTTATTGCAAGCTAAAAGGAAGATAGCATTAAGGTTAAGCCATTAAAAAATAAACAGTTATACATATTCCTTGGGTCAAATACTTATACATTAATTCAATTAATAAAAGAATACACACTGATAAATGACTCTAATTCCATTTATTTTCAGCCCTGTTCAGATTCTTTGAAAGCCAACTCAAATTCTTATTTGACAAAGACACTTATGGCAAAATTTAAATGTTTAATAGCCAAGCAAATAAAATGATGTAGAATATAATTAAATCTTTCAGAAACCCATTTCCAGCATGGGTATAACTAATGAAATTCTTCCAGTAAAAGCCAAAAATAGATGTGGTCATGGAACCATCAAAGCATTTTGCTTCCATAATGTCATAAAATATTTAGAACTGGAAGAGACATTAGAAATTGTTTTAACCTCCACTCTCATCTCTCCTGCTCATACCTACAACCTCCATTTAATACAGATGGGGAAAATGAACTTGGCGAAGTAGAGTAACATGCCTCTACTTGCGTTATTATAAAAAAGTACAGCAAAATGGCCACAAGGACCTTTTCAATGCATAATATTGATGAACATGTAAGGAATTTCTCAAACTCACTAAAAGACACTGAAAACTAAAAATTAAGTTTTAAATGCCAGAGCTAAGGTTATACATTTAGAACACTGCCATACTTTTTGCTCAACAAAAAGATATGGGAAAATTATTCAGTCCAAAAGACTGCTGGGAACATGTATAATAATATATGAAGCACATATGTGCATGTGTGCATGTGCATTTTTTCCCATTGCTAACCTTTCACCATGTGGTTATTAGCAGGAACTGAAAATAAGACTTTACTAGGTTAGCCAAAAAGTTTGCTTGGCTTTTTCCATAGGATGGATCTAGTAGCAATTAGTTGTCTAACTCCATTCAAAAGAATTTTCTTAGACTGTACTGTGACAGCTGTCATCAGTGTGCACTTAAAAAAACTTATCAAAATTGGGTGAACTTTTTCGTAGCCATTTTAATGAAGATGGAAGAAAATACACAACTTTTTCAGTGTATTATGCTTTATTATTTCAAAAAATGTAAAGACACAAATGAAGCACACAAAAAAAGACTTATTCAGTATATGGAGAAGGTGCTGTGACTGATAGAATGGGTCAAAAGTGGTCTGGGAAGTATGGTGCTGGAGATTTCTCACTGGACAATGCCCCATGGTCAGTAAACCAGCTGAAATTGACAGCAATCAAACTGACACACTGAGAACAATCAACGGTCTATCACACAGGAGACAGTCAACATACTCAAAATGTCCAAATCAATGAAGTTATTGATGAAAATGAAAAATGTGTCTTTTACAGAAAAAAACCATACGAACTTTTTGGCCAACTAAATACCCTTGCCATAAGGCACACTTTGAAACTAACTTTCTAAAATTTTTCACCAAAACCAGAACTGTTACTCTTAAATTAACAGGTCTGGGCCAATATTTGAAAATCTGATTTTACTCTGTCTTTAGGAAATCAGAGCCCTGGCTGGCATAGCTCAGTGGATTGAGCACAGGCTGCGAAACAAAGTGTCGCAGGTTCGATTCCCAGTCAGGGTGCATGCCTGGGTTGCAGGCCATGACCCCCAGCAATCGCATGTTGATGTTTCTCTCTCTCTCTATCTCCCTCCCTTCCCTCTCTAAAAATAAATAAATAAAATTAAAAAAAAAAGAAATCAGTAGTTCTTTCCATTTAATTTCTATCTAAAGTCATAATCTTTATTATCAATCAATTCCATAGCAACCAGCTACAATACCCCTCATGGAGCCTTATGACAAGTTCAGGTAGGAAATAAACAGAAAGACCATGTAAGTTATTAAAATCAAGGATTAAGCTGTCATCTAAATGTCTCACAGGAAAAAAAAAACCCCTCAAGATCAAAGTCCACATTGCATTCAAAGCTAATACTTCAAACTCCAAGCAGGTGGCACAGCAATATGCCAATAAAGGCACATATGGAAGAAGGCAAACTAACCAAAGGAGAGTAGCAAAAAAATGTATAAACAAATTATTTTGAAAGAGTAGGAGGAGCCACCATATGGACCAATTCATGGGTAATTTTTTTTAATAAAAAATTATTTTTAAGGGGGAAGCAAAAGGAGTAAAATAATGAATTATCTTGTTGTTAATGGGGAAAGTACAAGGAGCATGGGACTAGTATTTCTACCATCACACAATCAGTTATTGGTATTTCCTACACTGGTTGTATTGTTAAAAATTAGAATAAAACTTGGGTTATGCTTTTTCCAAGACAGTGTCTTCAACTAACATGAAAAAATAAAATCAGTCCTGGCTGATGCAGCTCAGTGGATTGAGTGCTGGCCTGCAAACCAAAGGGTCACCGGTTTGATTCCCAGTCACGACACATGCCTGGGTTGCAGGCCAGGTTCCCAGTAGGGGGTGCACAAGTGCAATCACATATTGAAGGTTTCTTTCCTTCTCTTTCTCCCTTCATTCCCCTCTGTCTAAAAATAAATAAATAAAATATTTAAAATAAAATAAATTAAAATGTCATACTAACTGCAATTTAGAATACCTGAATCCATTAGGGATGGTTCATTTCATTAATGAATACAAAAGAACAAATCAATGAGTGTTACTCAGAGCTCTTAAAATTTTAACTTTATACTGTCTTTGATTTTCAAATGATAAAGATATTTACTTAACATATAGAAAGAAGCCATTTCTCTTTTCTTTAAACCTAGATGAGACTAGAACTAATAAATTGGAAAAATGAATTTCAGCTTTCAATGTTTTAGTAGCTGGATTTTTAAAAACTACTTGTGCTGCCTAAAACAATTTGATAGCTCAATTTACTTATTTTTAACATTTTATGTCTAATCAGATACTTTCAGCAAGGCTGCATATGGACTTTATTATCACATCTGTGCCATATTAGAACTAAAGAGAATAGTAACGACTGTTTCATTCTAGTTCTTATCATCAATATCATAATGTAGAGTTTAATTTAAAATATGTAAATGCCTATACTAAATATAGCTTTTCTCCTCCATCTTTTGTATTTGATTCCAAATGTTTAACAAGTTAATTCTTTTCCAAATTAAAACAAAAATCACTAAAACGTATGTGCACATGGCTAAGAGCCTCTGGAGACCAGCCAGTACAATTCACTCATTTCACAAATGAGAAAACTGAAAGCCAAAAAAGTCACCTGCGTAACAGGAGCAGAGCCTAAAATGGAATTCAGGTCACCAGCCTCCCTTCCTTCCACAGTGATGCATTACATGTCATGAGAGTTAGCATCCGAGCTATATCACACTCAAGTGTCTAATGGTCCACAAGCCAAAACTAACCTATTGCCCTTTTATGAAAACCAAAAATAATAGTCAGAACGAGAGCACCAGAATACAAGAGCCTGCAACACCATTACCCATCAGAAAACTGTCTGTGAGTTTGGGGTATTTTTATGTCAAAAGTGAGTCATAGTGATCTTATGTGTATGGGGTGGGGGGCAGTGCCAGACAGACTTCCTAGAAAAACCTTCAATGGTCTCCCATCTCTGCCCTTCACTAAACTGAGACTGATGTAGTCAAATGATACACAAATAAAATCAGTAGCAACTTCTCCCTCCACCTGGTAGATGTCAGCCTGTCTCATTCACACTGCTGGCAGCCACCTGGTGGAGCTGTAATACATCATTTTTTAAGAGACAAACAAACACCAGGTGATTAATTGCTGGGTCTGTTACTACAAACTTGGTTTCACAGCTTAAAATAGTTAATTTATAGTGTTTTCAAGGAGCAGTTAAATGCCAACCCAGATCCAGTAGCAAGAATAAACCTTTTCCACCAGTTTTATGTGCAAGTATAAATTTCTTTCCCTGTTCAAGAAACTGTTTTACATAGCCACCGATTCTCCTGCAACTCCTATTTGCTTTCTCAGTTCCTTGGTAAACTTATTTCCCCTAGAGTTCCACATGAAAAGAAGGAGTCAAGAGAGCTGAAGAAAGCTGTGTGCCAAGGAAGCATTTCAGCTCAGTAATCCAACTCCTCCCTCCTCTTGCTCTTGCTCTTGCCCTACTTTGCACTACTCCCCATCTATTCTAATGTTCCTTCCCTCAGAGAAAGTGTACATTTGGTAAGAAAGGAGGCAGCTAGTTTTCTATGGTTCAGAATCAGTAAGAGGCGATAAATACTCTCTCTAGTATGAATTAGGAAGCCAACCGAAGGTCAAAGGTGAATTCCCAAGTCACCACAATATCTATTTTCCCTCTTTCTCTCACACAAATATACAGGGTGGGGCAAAAGTAGGGTCACAGTTGTTCATAGGAAAAATACAATAACTAATAAATACTAACACAAGAATAAACTCTGTTGCACATACTCACAACTATAAATCTACTTTTGCCCCACCCTGTGTGTGTGTGTGTGTGTGTGTGTGTGTATCCCCACCCACCCTCTTAGTACCACCCAGACAAAAAAAGACAAAATAAGTACATTCCAAACTAAATGCACTGATACTGTTTTGGATTATTCTTATCTCCTTTTAATACCAATAGAATTAATGTATGCCTAACTAACTGGGGCATTCCTTGTGAAGAGAAGTTGCACAGTGGTTAGG